TAATTGTATACACAGATAAATCATTAAAAAATGGCAAAAAACCTACTAACAATAGTAACAATTTTATCAGTCAACAAATAATAGGTTTTGGGATAGGTTACATAACAAATAACATAAACTCAGGCCGATTTATTTGGAAAAGAAGATTAGAAGGACCACTATTATCAACATGTGCAGAGCTATAGGAAATACTCTCAGCTTTATAGGTAGTACCAAATTGTACAGAAGTCTGAATATATACAGATAGCAACTCATCAATCAGTGCAATTAAAGGATATACTGATGAAAAAAAGGGAAAACATTGGAGTAATTATAAAAACCTGCTGATCTTACAGACTATTAAAGAAGTTATATACACAAAAAAGCTATATATCATACTTCTAAAAGTAGATGCACATACAGGTAACATTTATAATGAACTGGCAAACAAATTAGCAGAGGAGAGAGTCAATTCAGGATCAACCTTTAAAGTCAATTCTGATTACATCAGAGAACAACAATGTCATTTCAAATGGAAAGGGGAAAGCATTGATGCAGATATTAAGTCCTTTGTAAAAAAGAAAGAGGAGATTGAATCACTTACAACATGGTTCACACAAAATCATATCAATAAATGGTTAAATAAAAAAATTATAGAGGAAACTAAATGGAAATGATCAGTTCAATTATGGCATGGTTCAAAAATTGCATCTACTAAAATGGATACAAGAGACAGTGTATTAAGATCTTTTTCATTAAAATCATTAAATGAAGAATTACTTACAATGACAATTCAATATACAAGAAAACCTGACATATACACTAAACCAGAATGTCCATTTTGTAGAAAATATAAAGAGACCAATACACATGTTTTTCTATGTTCAGAAAATGGAAAAAAATTTAAAAATCACTTTCCAAGCAACAATTAAAAAGATATATACAAAGAGAAAGAAATAAGGGATTAAAGGATCTAATGACAAAGATAACATGTGGACATTTTCTGAAAATTAACTACAACAGACAAATCTTAGGTACACAATCACATGATAAATTTAAATTCAATGACCTAATAAGAGGCCTAATTCCCAAATCTTTATATAAAATAATATGAAGTGCAACAAATTTTGCTGATATGGAAAAACAAATGGTCATGGATATCTTTAAGATATGGAAAGACATATTATATAACAATTGGAAGAAAAGATGTAAAGAATTTTTAGAATGGGATGGGAAAAAATAAATAATATAAGTGAAATGGATAAAAAAAATAAAGGTAAAAGATCAATTATAGATTACACATATATAGAAAATAAAAAACATTTAAAAGAAATAGGAACAGATATTATTCAAAATATTATAAGAAACATATATACAGTACATATAATATAAATATACTTTCAAATATTCTCTCTTGTTTAGATGTAGGTGAGGTTGTAACCTTCCAGTAGAAAGGATAACTTTCTACAGTGGTAGGTTAGGCCATAGTTTTTTTTACTTAGTCAGATTTTATTCTTCATGTATTTCTTTATTAATTTATAATTAATGAATAAAGTCAAAACCTCACTGGTCCAGTTAAATTACTACTAAATAATTATATTAAATGATCTTATTATTCATAAAATTTTAGAACAAAAATTTCTGGAAATTTTCAAAAACTTATTTATTTCTCAAGTAAGTATGTTTGTTTTTGACAAGGTTGGATGCCATTGCTATCCGTAAAATTTTCATTTGATGTCGTGTTTCTGGATCATCTGAAACTCTAATGAAACTTCTTGAATTCTTTTGGTTGTATTAAATTAATGGATTAGGGTAGAGTTTCTGTAAGAAAAGTTCTTGACATTTCCTTTCTTGATTAATGCTTTACCTTTTCCATGGTTTTTTCTATATAACAGGTAGTAGTTCAGCAGGTTATATTCATAACTTTGCTGTTTTTTACCTTTTACATGATTTTTCAGAGTTTTAGATAGTTGTTTAGCAAGTTATTAATAACCTTGCTGTCTAAAAGTTGGATACTTTTGAATGCTAATATGCTTACTTAGAAATAGTGCACAGGGATTGAATCAGTTTATTCAATACTGTTTCTAACATCTTTTTTCTTTTCTTTTTCATTAGTATTAATTTGGAATTTTCCTAAGATTTTTGATAAATTTTATTTTCTATTTTTTTCAAATATTCAAATTAAATTAGTTCTTTAGTTTTTTTTTGATCACTTTTAAATTAACTGTTATTTTTTGCAATATTTCATAAAATCTTTATTATGTAAAAAATATAAAAAACTAAGTATTCTATATTATGTATAAATATAGTAACTAATAAATGTTTGTAACATTCAAAATATATATAATAACTAATAAATATTCATAATGTTCAAAAATATAATATATATATTATAATGTTCAAAAATATATTTATAAATGATCTAAAAAACATAATATACTAATAAATGTTTATAATATTCAAAATTATAATAAATGTTCATAATGTTCAAAAATATAAATAAATGTTTATAATGTTCAAAAATATAATATATATATTAAAAATTTATATATATAAAAATTATTTTGAAAATATCCAGAGCTTTTGAAATTATTCTTCCTTCTCCTCCTCCCATTCTGATAGTAATTTGCTTTTCTCCTCTTCTATTTCATCATCAGAACTAAAAATTTTTAAGCTGAATGCTTTGTCATTTTTCATATTTTTTTATAAAATGAAAGATATTAAATTTTCAATTTTCAAGAAAAAATAGACTATTTTCTACTTACATTATTTTTTTTTTGTCAAAATTCACAAATAACATCATTTTGAATTTGTAACCAACACCTTTGTAAAAACATTTTTAATTCTCTCAAATTTTTAAAGTTTTCTTTTCTATTTTGAATATGGTCTTCAAGTTCATTCCATAGGTGTTCAATTGGATTTAGGTCAGGGGACTGTTCTAGTCATGTATGAAAAGGAATTTCCATTTGTTGTTGAAATTGATATTTCCCATATTATTCTTCAAATTCCTTCGAAAATGGTATCAAATGATAGCCAATAATTTTTTCTATATATATCTGCTACCATTAACTCATCTATCAATTCAGTTAAAGGACCTAACCTATACCAAGAAAAATATTCCCACATCATGAAACCTCCACCACCATACTTTACAGTTGGGACAAAGCAATTAACATTATATTTTTCTTTTGGAAATCACCATACATTAATTTTAACATCATTCCTAAATAATGGAAATTGTGATTTGTCACTTCAAATCACTTTTTTCCAATTATTGATTGTTCATGAATGTCTTTCACGTGCCCAATTAAAATGGATTTTTCTATTAGTTTCACTAATATTGGGCTTTCTAAGAGCTGTTTAACTATAATATCCTATTTTATATAATGTACATTTCAGAGTATTCTTGCTCACTTCATTTCCAGTACACTCATTAAGGTTTTCTTTTAATTGTTCAGATGATTTATGCCAATTTTGGGTAACAATTGCCTTGAGATGATGCTCATCATGTCTGGTTAATATTTTGGTCATCCACTTCTGGGAGCACCAGAAATGGTACCTTTTTCATAAAATTTAACTATAATATTATAAATAGTAGTCTTTCCATACCCTGTTTTTTCCGCAATTGTTTTTTCTGAGTCATCAGCTAAATGGTAACCAATAATTTTTCCCCATTCGAAATCAGTTAATTCTTTTTTTTTAACCATTTTGCGAAAACAAGGGACAACCAAACAAAAAACAACCCACGATAATTATTATTGATGATCAGGTAATACAAATTTATTTTTTGTATATTTTATTTCAAGTTACACAGTCAAATAATTAAATTTTTATGCAAATCACAAGGGTGGTCCTAAACTTTTATAATAAACAAAGGTACACTCCCAACCCAAAAGTATGTTATATTATGTTGTTCCAGAATCTTTTTCTTGCATAATTGACATATTTTAGGTTATTATAAAAAAATAAAACATGCCTTTGTGTATTATTGAATTAAAAAATTCATTTGGTAGGCTGTAAAAGTAAATTTCTCTTGTATCATAAAAAAGTATTCATATTTTTCGAAACTTTTGTGGGACGTCACCATATCAAAAAATTTATCACACATCATATATGAGTTTTATATCTTTGATAATCGCTATATTTTGAATTAAATAAATATGCAAGATTATAATGAGATTGATACTAAAGCCTTAACATATGCTAAAAGACGTGAAGGGAGATGTTTAGCTAAATGTGAATGTAACCCAGATATTTATTTATAATTATGCAAAAATAATCATCAATGGAAGGTATCTTATAATAATATGAAGTAAAATTACAGGTGGGAATTTTTTTATGTGATAAATCTTCAAATATATACCAGCATGTTCTTTAGGGCAAATGTTACAAATTTTACACTATCCATAATTCTGCTTAATGCTTTTATAGGATGTTGTCGATTTTTACATGACCACAAATAAATACCCAACATATTAGTATCGATCTCATTGTAATCATGCATATTTATTTTGATTAAAAATATAGTGATTATTAACACTTAGTGACTTCATTCACCTTTGGGTAGTTCTTTCCGTTTTTGGACCATTAAGAACAAACAAAAAAACAACATTTTTATAAAGCGTGGGTCATAATTGTCTAGTTACGTAAATTCACGCAAAGGCATAATTTAATATAGCTTAAAAAAAAGCTTAAGGAATCAAATATTATTATTTTATTAATGTTATTTATTAAATAAAACCCTCTATTATTATTATTCTAATCAAAATATTCAATTTTATTTATTCTCAATTAGAATGCAGCAAGTTATTATATTACTGTATTATATGGGTTACGTAATAACTTGATATATTAAATTATTATTGTTTCTTTAAATCTAATAATATTATTTTTTTTTGCGAAGACTTTCGCTCAATTTGAGCTCGAAATTGATTTTTTTCAAAAGGAGATCGATAATATTTGTAGGAAATATTTTATCGCAGATTCTCTAAGTTAAAATAAAAACAGAACTAAATTCGATTCTAATCGCTACCGGGGAGACATTTGGCACATTCACCTTGCCCAGCCGATCTACAACTTAGAGTATGGCAACATTGATATGGAGACAGGTCAGTGATGTCACAAGGCGCATTTTTTTCCAAACATTTTTTGTGGTCACATGGGACAGAGCGAGTAACGGTGGCAGTTTCAGTAACGGTAGTAGTATTGTGAACATGTTCAGTAGTTGGTGAGTAGACAGTAGTAGTATTGAAATCAGTAGCGGTAGTAGTATTGAAGACAGTAGTTGGTGAGTAGACAGTAGTGGTATTGAAGACAGTAGTTGGTGAGTAGACAGTAGTAGTATTGAAATCAGTAGTGGTTGTAGTATTATAGATAGTAGTTTGTTTGGTGAGAGTGGTATTACATTTTGAAGTAGATACTTTAACGGGTTTAGTAATGCATTTGGTGTAAGTAAAGGGTGGTTTTCTAATGTGTTTAGTAGTGGTGACGGTTTTATATTTATATTTGTAGTAATCACCACCTCGCTCGTTGATGTCAGCGATAGCGGTGTAAATGAAGAAATGAACAAGGAGAGAGAATAGAACGAGAGTAGAGCGAGAGAAAAGCATGTTGTTATGGTGACGTAGTGATGTATATAATTTAATATAATTTATAACTTTAGGTAAAGCGAATGCAAAGAAGAGAAGTAAGAATCTCTTGACGAAAAAGGTGGTATATATATTCGTTTTTCCCTATTGTCCTATACACTAGTATCACTGTGATATGCATAACTTTTACCGGGACATTGTATACTGGTTTTTAATTGTGAATTCAAATTTATGTACAGTATTATTTACGCCATATTTTTATCTTCGATTTGATGCAACGGAGTAACATTAAAATAGAGTTGTTTAGAAAGACTTCAATGACGACTTAATTTTTTTTTCTGTTTTTAGTCGTATGCTCCCATGCGTCTTTATTTTTATTTTTTCGATCTATTTAATTCTTAAACGAAGTACGAAAACAATCATAAATTTTAATTATTTGATAATTATTGGTATATTCTTTTTTTTTCATGTTTACAAATCAAATATAAATATTTTTTTAACAAAATAATAATTAATCCTCGATTTTCAGTCTTTTTTTTTTGTGTATTCCAACGTTCTGAATGAAAAAAAATTCTTATTTCTTTATTTTTATTTTTTTGATCTACATAATTTTTAAAGAAATACGAAGATAACTAAAAACAACCATAAACTTTAATTATTTGATAATTATTACTGGTATGTTCTTTTTTTTCATGTTTACAAATTAAATATAAATATTTTTTAACAAAATAATAATTACTGCTCGATTTTCAATCCTTTTTTATGTGTATTCCAGCGTTCTGAATGAAAAAAAAATAATTTTTTATTTATTTATTTTTATTCTTTGATCTACCAAATTTTTAAACGAAGCACGAAGATAACTAAAAATAACCAAAAACTTTAATTATTTGATAATTATTACTGGTATATCTTTTTTTCATATTTACAAATCAAATATAAATACTTTTTTAACAAAATAATAATTACTCCTCGATTTTCAATCTTATTTATGTGTATTCCAACGTTCTGAATGAAAAAAATTTCTTATTTCTTTATTTTTATTTTTATTTTTGATCTATCCATTTAAACGAAGTACGAAGATAACTAAAAATAACCATAAACTTTAATTATTTGATAATTATTACTGGCACATTCTTTTTTCATGTTTACAAATCAAATATAAATATTTTTTTTAACAAAATAATAATTACTCTCGATTTTCAATCCTTAATATGTGTGTTTCAACTTTCTGAATGAAAAAAAATTCATATTTTTTTGATCTACCTAATTTCTAAACAACGAAGATAACTATAAATAACCATAAAATTTAATTATTTGATAATTATTACTGGCATATTCTTTTTTTTCATGTTTACAAATCAAATAAAAATATTTTTTAACCAAATAATTATTTCTCGATTTTCAATCTTTTTCAAGTTGTATTCAACCAACATTTTGAAAAAAAATAATTTTCTTATTCTTTATTTTTTTGATCCAACTCAACCATAAACTTTAATTATTATTTGATACATCTTTTTTTATCTTTGTTACGATTAATTTATGATTTGTTTCTTAATAGGTTGATTTTTTAATTTTTTTATGATGTAGAGTGCTTCCATATAAAACTTTTTTAATTTTTATTTAAAAAATATATATTTTTTTTTGATAAATTTGAGATATATGTTATTTGCTAATTTAAAATAAATTAATATTTATTATAAAATTTTGTAAAAAATTATAAAAAACTTTAAGAATATGTTTTTATTATTACAAATTTTGTGGCGCGCTTTAATATACTTTTTTTACAATTTAAGGTTCAAAATTTGTATACGAATCTTAAAATCTATATTTCAATAATATTAAAAAATATTTATAATAATAAAATTTTACGAAATTTAAAATATAAAGTAAAAAATAAATTAAAAAATATATTTTTTCGATAAAATTTAAATTTTTTTAATTTTTGACAATTAATATGTTGTTAAACACCAGTGTGATTATAAAATAAAAACACATGGTTTAATTTCATACACATGAAGTCCAGGTGATCGGAATTATTTCACGTGTTATAAACATTAGGTGACATATATTATGTGACAAATATGCTTTTTCGCATGTAAAAAAATTTTATGTAAGTCCCCTAATAAAAATTGATATTCGAAGGATATGACATATGTTGATAAATACATTACCCTTGAAAACCATAACCCTAATCCCTGCAGTATAGAATAAGGTGTTCAACGCCACCGGTGTAATTTAAAGTTTTCAATTAATATTACCAAAAAAAACTTCTTTTAGTTATTTAAAATCTATTGCATCACTATTAAAACATATACTGTATGCTCTATTTATATAAATCATTAGTATTAAAATTATTATGCAGAGAAAAATTTTAGAATTGAATCATCATTAAATAAAAAAAGAATTTTTTGAAAATAAAATAATTACTTTCTCGATTTTCAGAAAGTTACAATTTTTTTTTTGGATGAATCTAATTGTCACAACACGTTATGCACCTTATTTGTAATAACTACTTCGTACAGCCAATAAAAACATGTGTAATCTAAATTCTAAATCTGGTTAATTGCAGGTAATTACATGTTTTTTTATGTTGTTGACCCTATTTCTTTATTTTTTTTAATTATATATATTTTTATTACAACGTATTTTATTATTATTATTTTATTATTATATTAGTATTTCATATATGTATTATCTTATTTATTTTTAGTATAGTATAT